TATAAAGATTTTGATATCTGTCCTCTGCTTTCTTTTAACTATGGCGAATTGGCTGAGGCTATGCAGATCATTTTTGTATTCAACAACTTAGTATGTCTCTCACTGGCTTGTGTTGCTTCTTATTTTTTGTCCGCATCCACTTGCTAGGTATTATTTCCCCCTTCATCCAGTATAGCCAGTATAGCCACCGTGGACACCTTTCAACTCTTTTCCCCATGGCTTCTACTTTTCTTCTTTCTCCTCCTACCTTGTAATCATCAAGGTCTATTTCTTTTGGAATTGAATCATTTCTTGGATTTTATTTTTAATGATAGTAGTCTCTAGCAATAGTCATCCTTTAATGATTGACTAATATTACAGTGCATAAAATTTTCCAATTGCTTTCATGTCAAGAAGGGTTTCACAGATTGCTCAATTTTTTTAAAGTGGCATAGTATTTCAATGTGTGTCTACACACATAATGTTTATTTATTAATTCTTCCACTGATGGATATTTAGGTTGTTTGCATTTTCCTGCTATCATGAATAGTGCAGTGATGAACAAAAGTGTACATACATTGGTCTATGCTATGCTCCTTATTTCTTTAGTGTGTAAAACAAGTAGAGGGATAACCGGATCACACGGTAGTTCAATCCTGCCACCCTATTGCTGTCCAGAGTGTCTGTACTGTTTCACAATCTCACCAGCAGTATATGAGGATATGAGGTTCCAATTTGTCTGCGCCCTTTTAATATTCATTACTTTCCTCTTCCTCTGTCTCCTCCTCATTGCTGTGGTTGTCCCCGTCCACTTCCTCCTCCTTTTTCACTTTCCTCTTAGTACTGGGGTGATATCTAGTCCTCATTTTTATTTACATCTCTTCAATGGCTAGTGATTGGAAGCATCTCTTTATGTTTCTTGTCTCCCTGAATATATTCTTTGGTCGACTATCTGTTCATGACTTATACCTATTTTAAAATTGTCTTCTTCTTCTTTTTCTTGTTGAGGTGTTGAAGTTTTCTGTAGACTTTAGAGGTCAATCCCTTATGCAAAGTTTTATTTCCATTTCCCACTGCCCCTGTCAGAGAACCTATGGGTTCTCTCTCTTTCTCTGTTTTTGGTGGTCTTTTGATGTACATAAGTGTCATAGTTTAAGGAGGCCATCTATTTTGTCTTTTGCTTTCCACAGGGCTTGTGTTATGCATATGTGTTTCATTATGCTTGTTAGTATATTTATGCCACATGTATGCCTATTTGTCCATTGATGAATGTGATAGTTACATTTTGAGTCCCCTTGGGTGGACACTGATCCTCAGTAGTTTGGCAGTCAGGACTCCCCTATAATGTAAACCACGGCAGGCAACCACTTACTCAAGTCACAGCTTGACGATGTGTCCTTGGGTGTGTGGCCTACTTCAGACCTTTCAATGTCTACTATGAAGAACTCAAGGTCTCTCTTGCATCTGTCCAATTGATCTCTGATTCTTTGGAATTGAGCCAAGTGCCACCGTATTGGCTACTGATCCGGAGAACCAACAGCTGCCTCCAATAACATATGATCTTCCGATTTGTCTCTCCATCTCTGCATCCACCAGCTGTGTTCTCCCTATTTCTTTTTCTTGCTTCATCGTCATGCCTTCTGTTTTGTCTTCTAGCTTCCTGGCTTCCCAGCCCCAGCAGCCCCTCAATTCAGCTTATGTCTAACACACAGATTTGAACCAAAATGAATTTAACCCCATTGACAACTGTGTTGGCTACTTTTGAAGTAAACTCCACCCTCCACCACACTTTTTTGCTTGTTTGTATTTTGAGTGCTAGTTGTTTATTTTTATTATTTATTTTTAAAAATCATTTTATTGGGGGCTCACACAACTCCTATCGCGATCCATATATACATCCATTGTGCCAAGCACATTTGTGCATTTGCTGCCCCTGTCATTCTCAAAATATTTGCTTTCCACTTGGGCCCTTGGAATCAGCTCCTCATTTTTCCACCTCCCTCTCTGCTCCCCCCTCCCTCATGAACCCTTGATAATTTATAAATTATCATTATTTTGTCATGTATTACACTGCCTGACATCTGCCTTCACCCACATTTCTGTTGCCCATCCCCGAGGGAGGAGGTTATATGTAGATCCTTGTAATTGGTTCCCTCTTTCTACCCCACCTTCCCTATACCCTCCCGGTATCGCCACTCTCACCACTGGTCCTGAAGGGATCATCTGTCCTAGATTCCCTGTGTTTCCAGTTCCTTCTCTATCACTGTACATCCTCTGGTCTAGCCAGGTTTGTAAGGTAGAATTGGGATCATGATTTTGGGGGTGGAGGAAGCATTTAAGAACTAGAGGAAAGTTATGTGTTTCATTGATGAAACTTCCCTTTTTATATACATATATAAATGCCATTAGTTTTCCTTTTCTAGAAAACCCAGCTAGTTCTAGATAACCCAAATTGTAAAGATGAATTTTCTAAATTGATTCTTAATCCAGATTAGGCTTAAAGGCACCAAGATCTTTTAATCTGTCTACTTTAGTATGGATAAGTTTACTACTGTTAATAAAGAGGGCATTGTTAATACATGAAATATCATCACCAATAGATGAATTATTGGTGAGAAGTGAGAATTTAGGCGATCATGATTTTGATACTTTCCAACAATTTTGCCAAGTTGGGAAGTATAGGGAAGTCTGTTAGTTGGTATTACTTAAAAACAAAAACAATACTCAAAAACAAAAACAAAACTCACTGCCATTGAGTCAATACAGACCACATGGCAAAGGAAAGAGAATGAGTCAGAGCTTCAGAGGGAAAGCTCAAGGGTCACATAAAAGATCTTAAAGATCCAGTTATGCCATGAAAGAAAGTCTGATCTCTTCTAGTAACAGAGCAGACATTGCCAAAATCTAAACTCAGAGTTTTATCATGCTAATAGTTGCCTTACAACACAGCATAATACTCAAACTAGAAATGATAACTTACGTTAACGGGATTGGGAAAAAATGGGACCCTGAAACTTGGGATGGGGATGTATTGTTCTTAGGTGCCAGCAAGTCAGTTCTAACTTATAGCAACCCTGTGTACAACAGAAAAGTAAACAAACAAACACAAAACCATTCCCCAGTCTGGTGCCATCTTTGCAATTGTTATGATTAAGCCCACTGTTGCAGCCCCTGTCAATCCATGTCATCAAAGACCTTCCTCTTTTTTTTTTCTTTTAATCAATTTATTGGGCCTTTCGACTTTACCAAGCCCAATATTCTTTTCCGGGTACTGAACTCTCCTGGTAACATGTCCAAAGTATGTGATGCCTGGCTCACCATGTTCACTCTTGCTCTGGAAGAGTACATTGGCTATGTCTCTTCCAAGACAGTTTTTGAGGACTATGTGTGTTTTTTTCAATTAGAATTGGAAACATCTTAAAACTATGAGAAGGAAAATAATAAGCTGCGAGGGGAAGCCTGCCCCTAACACATCATCACAGGTCCGGTAGGTGCAATTGTACAGCGATAATAAGTAAAGATTTTAGTAAAGTCATAGAGAGCATGAGAGATAGAAGAGAGATAGAAATAATGGAGTCAGACACATTTCATGGCAGCAATGCTCACCTCAACCTCACTTGATGGTCACATGGACAGAGAGCCATATTTAATGCTAACCAAGGCTTTTATATTCTCCGGGGACATGCAAGCCCCCTAATTACAGGTGAAGACATACATCACAGGAAAGAGTTGTGCTATAGGTAATACAGTAATGGGTGGGGGGTGATCTAGGGGTATCCACGCAGTAGGAAGAGGAGGGATTGGGGGTATACATGTGGCAAGATGGGAAGATCCTAGATTCAGGATAGTAGCCTAACTTTGGATGTCACTGAGCAGGTTTGACCTGTTCCCTGGCACCATTATCTGTAGGGTATGAACACCTAAAGGAACCAAATCCATGACTGCAAGGCTTTAGGGAGAAGTAGCCCATTGTCCTTAATAGCAGGTAGTGGGGCCTACCTTAGTCTGGTGACTGACTGCCTTCAGGGAGGATGTCTCTAAGTTTCTTACCTCCCCCCATATGCTAGCAAAAAGCCCCTAATATTTGACATGTCTTTTGGGGAGACCAAGCTGGGGAAAAGTCTCTTTATAGTCCCACAATAAGCAGCCACTATTTTACTGCTAATTACTACTTTAATTAGCATCCTTTCATTTTATATCTTAGCTCCTCTGGTACATACATGGATGTATGCAAAGATCCCTCTGGTATATATATGTATGTATGTAAAAATAGACAGCACACATGGATGAGAGTGTTGTCATGATAAGATTTAAAGTCATTAAAATTTCTTGTGCCATAGTAAACTATCCTGTGAGTAATGTCTTTGCATTTAATATATATTTTTATTTCATTAATTTAAATTTAATACAGAAAATCAAGAATATCTTTAGTATGCCTATGTAATATTTGAATATAAATTTTCCACAGAACAGTGTATTAACATCTGCTCTCATCATCCATATATATGAATAACTTGCTATATTTATACTTACTATATGGGATATTGTGTGGACTTTTCTATCTTATTTACTTTTTAAAAAGTATATATATAGTATTGATCACTGTAAGATGAAATGTAATATTCTAACAATTATTGTACATGCTTACTTAACATATATATTAAAATAATAATCTAATTGCTTATTTTTTGTTCACAATGCTTTATTAGCAATGTTCATTATTTTAATCATACCTATTGGTATTGTTTTATGACATTTTATACAGATATAAAATAATACCTAATTTTAATCCAGTAATTTTTTGTATATTTTCCTGTGATTTTTTTTATCCTTATTCACAAAGGTTTTAAAAATGTTTTGAGTATTTTACACTTTGCAGTTGCTCAATAAATTATGGTGAAATGCTAATGGCATGAAATCTTTGAATGTTTGTCCTATCAAGTCCAGTTCTGCTTTAAACAACAGAAAAATAATCAAATTGTATGTCAGTATTTACTTAGAATACTTTTCTTTTCCTCCAGAGACTAAGAGACCATGTCTTGAATTCACTCAGTTAAGTGTAAAAGATTCCCTCAAAGATTTGTTTATCTCAAGAATGGAGATTATTTTGATGATGTACACAAGACGCAACATAAACTGTGCAGAACCACTCTTTGAGCAAAATAACTCACTTAACACACTTTTCAACACAAAAAAGAAAACGGTCTGGCTTATCCATGGATATAGACCAACGGGCTCTGCTCCATCGTGGATGCCAAACTTTCTAAGGCTTTTGTTGAATAAAGAAGATATAAATATAATTGTAGTCGACTGGAACCGCGGTGCCACGACTTTAATTTACAATAGAGCAGTTAAAAACACTCGAAAAGTTGCTCTAAGTTTGAGTGAGTATATTCACAAACTTTTGGTAAGTCTTGGAATTTTATGCATTGTTTATGTTGTGTAGTGCACAATGTAGCATGCTGTATCACAAAGCGGTAATAAATTAAAGAAAACATATTTGTCCATAAGAACTCCACTTTGGAAAAAGAAAAGAATTGCCACTTTGATATACTAATATACATAGCCACCTCTCTTCCTTTTCTTCTAAATGGGTGACTGTAAGACCGACATAAACATTTTTATTAAAAATAAGTGTCACTTAAAAAATATACCCAAACCAAACTCACAGTCATGGAGTCATTGCTGACTCCTAGTGGCCAATGTGGGTTTCTTAGATGGTAACTGTTGACAAGGGTAGAATGCCTAGTCTTTCACGGAGCTGCTGGTCCAACTGCCTACTATGCGGATGGCAGTTCAATGTGTAATCACTACATCAACAGGGCTCCTTTCAAATGTATACTGTATGTTTTATTTTGAAATATCTTTTTTTCTTACTCTAGTTGTGGCAGTAAAAATGGTTAATGGCTCATGGTTAACTGAATGAGTGCGGGTGCACTTTGGGAGAAAAATCTAATGATCGACTTCTAGGAATTCAGTCACTGACAACCCTCTGTGGCACACATCTACTCTGGCACTCCTGAGACATCATGAGTCAGACTTGACTCAATTGTAACTGGTTATTATCTAGTAAACAAATGCAAAATGCCTATCACTGAAATGACCAAAATGCCTAACTTTGAAATGACCCAAATATAAGTAATAAGCTCTAAATTATTGCAACTCAGAATTTGCTTTAATAGAACACAAACTTTTCCAAAATTTATGATAAACTAAATTTTAATTATAACAAGAAATCATTTGAATCTCCAGTTAATACTTTAAAGTTGTGCAAGCATACATTACTGGTCTTTTACATGGAAAGAAATTTAAACTTCTTACATTTCATAAGAGTGTGGTGGTAGGTAAGGGCCCCCTGGGGCTTCATGTGCAAGAGGTGTTGAGACATGGCCTGGGAAGAGCTGACTCCATCATTTTCCATCTTGTGGTCTGGGAAAATAGCTTAAAATTTGGCAGTTTTATTTTATCTTCTCTGAAGTGAGTGAGGGTGACTATGAGTCAGCATTGCCTCAATGGCAGCGAGTGAGTATTATTATGGTTACTGCAAAATGCTTCTCTAAGGAAAAGTTTTGGGTTCCATAAAACACAATATCACATACAATTTTATTTTAATTAGACTATTAAATGGATAAATATTAGATATATAACAGAAAGTTTAAACAAAAATACAGTTGGTTGAAATGATAAAAGCCTTCCAAAAATTTTATTTAGCCAGAAAAAAAAGATTTTTAGAATATTAATGTAAGTAATGTAAATTATAACACTGCATTTTCAATTTCAGAACCATGGGGCATCTCTTGATAATTTTCACTTCATAGGTATGAGCTTAGGAGCTCATATTAGTGGATTTGTTGGAAAGATATTTCAAGGTCGACTTGGAAGAATAACAGGTAAAATCTTTTTCACCAAGTTCATGTCTTAGTACATTTTTAAACATCAAGAGTTAATTTACTTAATACTCAACAGGTTTAAGAACTGAACAATTGAAATTATCCTCATACTTTTATATATTTCTACATTATATTCAAAGACTCTGATGGTGCTCTCTGGTAAGCCTTGAGCTACTAACCTGAAGATCAGCAGTTAAAAACCCCACCAGCTGGCCTGCTGAAGAGAAAAACTCCTTCCGTTATCATGAAGATGTACACTCTCATAAACCTTGTATAGGGCCTTGATAAGTCCCAATCGACTCAAGGGCTGTGCATTGCATCATATTTAAGCATTAATCCTTTCTTGTAGTTGCTAGACTGCTTAAAGCAGTAGTTCTCAACCTGTGGGTCGTGAACCTTTTTGGAGGTGGAGGGGTGTTGAATGACCCTTTTGCAGGGGTCGCCTAAGACCACCAGAAAGCACATATTTCCAGTGGTCCTAGGAACCACTCCTCTATCTCTCTCCAGGCGCGTCTGCCCACATGAAGTATCACTCACATATGAGTACCTGCTGTGAAGACAGTTACCCATGCTACGCCATGCTTCAAGACACAATTTCATTTATTTGTAATTAGAAATAAATATTTCACAATATGTGATTACATATTGTTTTTTTAATTAATCACCTTGCTTTAATTATGTTAAATTTGTAACAATGAAAATGCCTCTTGCATATCAAATATTTACAGTATGATTCATAACAGTAGAAAATCACAGTTATGAAGTAGCAATGAAAATAATCTTATGGTTGGGGGTCACCACCACATGAGGAACTGTATTAAAAGGTTGTGGCATTAGGAAGGTTGAGAACTACTGGCTTAAAGTCTTTTCAATTCTTTTTTTTTTTTTTTAAGGTGGGGGTTATAACCACTTTATTCCAAGTTTAATCTTTAAGCCAAGGCTGTTTGCCATAAGCAAGGATGGTGTGACCAAGGGCATTTCGTTCCTGGCCCCTGTCTTTTCAATTCTTTTTTTTTTTTTTTTTAACCGATATACATATTTTATTGTATTTTGGGTGAACTTTTGCAGAGGGAGTAATTTCTCATTCAAATATTTAGACACATTTTTTTTATGTCGATGGTGAGAAGATCAAGAATTTATTTTCAAGATCTTAACTTTAAAAAAAATAATTTTATTAGGGGCTCATACAACTTTTATCACAATCCATACATACATCAATTGTGTAGCTTTACATAATTGATGTATGTCTTTCAATTCTTAACAGAGCTTACTCATAAGGAAATAGGAGGAAAAGTATTACCTGAAATTTAAGGACACTCATTATTTTAACACACTGGGGAAAATCCTTCAACTAAAAGGCTTTATTAATATATTAACTATCAGGTGTCTAGAGTAGGTTATACTGTATGACACACATGCAGTACATGTATTAACACTATATTCTTTGTTAGTATGTACAGTGTATGTATTAACTAAATTACCATGCGTTAACTGAAAATGCAATCAAACTTCACATCTACTGTCTTTGCTGTGTCTAAATTCTATTAGGTCTTTTATCTGAATGCTAAAAGGGAGAATCAGGAGTTTGTATTTGAGATTTAAGGGTTGCTGGATCCCAATTCCCCTCATATTTACATAACAATCAACTGTACTCAAGGGAGCTCATTACCCAAATCATGCTGACATGGATTCTTTTGCTTCCTATTAGGGATGGTGCAAATTTCAGAATTAAAGAAATAATATCCCTTTCCAACTAACTTTACTTTTAAAATCTTGAACTTAAAGTCCAAAGAAGAGTTCCAATAACTTTTAAGTGATCATAAAGGATAATTAAACTTTCATCTAAGTGATAAAACAAGAAATAGCGGGAGGTGACTGATTTGCAAAGATTGTCAAAGGTGTCACAAACCTTACAGGACTGTTGTGAATATAAATGTGAAACATTAAAAGCACTTATCAAAGGATCCCTGGTGGCACTGTGGACTAAGCATCAGGCTACTAACTGCAAGGTTGGCAGTTCAGATCTACCAGAGAAAGAAGAGGCTGCCTGTACCTGTCAAGATTTAGTCTCAGAAACTGTAGCAAGTGATTGAACTATCTTCTATATGCTCACTGTAAGTAAAAAAAATCAACTCCATGTAAGTGGGCTTGCAAGTAGTTATCAAGGTAGCCGATACCAAGTAAACACATGATATATACTAGCTATTATCATGAGGACAATCCCTGGTGGCGTAGTGGGTTATGAATTTGGTTGCTAAACCAAAGGTGATCAGTTCGAAGGCACTAACCTCTCTGCAGAAGAAAAGCAAAGCTTTCTACTCCCACAAAGATTTACAGTCTCAGGAAACTCAGAGTAGCAGTTGTACCCCAACACTGGTGGTGTAGTGGTTGCTCACTGGGCTGTGATCTGCATGTTCCACAGTTCAAAACCACCAGAAGCCCCACAAGAGAAAGACTGGGCTTTCTACTCCCATAAACAGTTACAGGGGTCACAACGAGGCAGCATTGACTCGATGGCAGCAAGTTTGGGTGGTAGGGTCGCTCTGAGTTGGAATAGACTCGATGACTGGGAGTAAAGTTATGAGAAGTGCTGTTGATGCAGTGATTAATGCACTTGGATGTTAACGAAAAGGTCGGTGGTTCAAACTCCTTGGTTCCATGATAGAAAAACGTGGCAGTTTGCTTCCATAAAAATTTAATCCCCAGGAAACTTTTGGGGCAAGTCTATTCTGTTTATTTTATAAGTCAATCTATTATTTGGCTGAAAGATGACCTCCAAAAAAGCTTCAATTCTTGGTTCAAAGGGTACTATAGGGTAACAGTTAGTCCCTTAGTTCCCCAGTCTCTATTGGTTCCCTTAGTCTTTATTGGTCTAGTGCATCTGACCATTTTTAGGAATTTGAATATTGTACTACATGGTTCTTTTCTTTTTTTACTATTCTTTCTGGGACCTTCATTTGTGTTCCTGGTACTACTTATTTCTTCTAGTTTTACATTAAAGGGAGAAATGGTTTTTGTCTGGTATTAGTTCTATGGATTAACCATCTTTAAAGATAATTTCCTCCACCACATGCATGTTCCGTGTGTTGAAGTTTTCTGTCCTCCTCAGGAACTCCCAATTATCTGATGCTCACCAGAAGGTCATGAACCTAGAGGTTTTATTTAGGATTTCAAATATGATAGGAATAATATCCATAATTCATATAATTTAAATATACTTATCTTTTCTAAGTGTGTGTATGTATGTGTATCAAACTTCACTTAAAAATAGTAGAGGATGCTGGTGGAAATTGGGAGCTAATAAAAAGGTTCACAAGAAATAAGACATTGTTCTAAAATGTATTGTGGGAATGCTTGTACAACTCTTCTTGAATTGTATGAAATGTGGATTATGTCCCAATAAAACTGTTCTAAAAAATTAATGGTAGATCATAAATATGTTTTTTTTAGATCATAAATATGTTTTATCCCATAGCCTAAATTGTTGTTTAATCCCTCAAATTTATGTTAGATTTATAGAATGATCCAGGAGGGTCTAGTAAGGCACAGAATTCAAGCAACATGATATTCATTATCATCCCCCCATCTCAAATGGAGTAAACTAAACCCCAAACCACTGCCATTGACTTGATTCTGACTCATAGGGACCCTATATAAGGTTTCTGAGGCTGTAAACCTTTACAAGACCAGACAGCCTTATCTTTCAGCCTGGATGGTGGGTTTGAATGACTGACCTTGAAATTTGCAGGCCGCTACCTAACCCACAGTGCCACCAGGGCTCTACCTTTTAACAGAGTATTAGTTATTTCTTATTTAATATTTCGTTGAGGCATCTCTGAAATATATAAAAGGCTGATATTTACTATTTAAATAGTGAAGACTATGCTCATCTTGTTTCATTTGTTTTTAGACACATTTTTTTGACTGGGATCAACTGAAACTATATAATTGTTATGTTTATAATGTAAAAATATCACAAATTTATAATCTAATCAACACAATAGTAGACCTTATTTAATGGATTGAAATCTTCCTCCTTGCATTTCAGGTCTTGACCCGGCTGGACCAAAATTCTCTGGCAAACCCTCGTACAGCAGATTAGATTACACTGACGCAGAGTTTGTGGATGTCATTCATTCTGACGCCAATGGTAAATCTGAAGAATTTATTTCTTGCACTTTAAAAATTAAAAGGAAACATATAGGTGTAGGGAGAAGAGGAGTTACAGTTGTGGATGAAGTGATGATCCATGTCTAATTATTAACAATTAAAATTAATGCCCACACTAGTCATCACTTTTAGAAATTTGATCACATTTTCAAGCTTAATTTTCCTGCTGTATCTAAGTTACTATTCTGCCCACTCATTATTGATCTCTATATCAATTAGAATAGAGTATACAATTTCGGGTTTCAGGTAATAATACTTTCTTCTTAAGTGTAGGGAAATAATTCATTTACAGTTTTTAATAATCATCCTCAAAAGGTATCTAGGACGACTATATTTTCAGGGAGTAAAATAGATTACTTGGACCCTTTTCCTGATTTGAAACTGATAAAACTACTTACTGGGTATGTCCTATGCTTCGGGCATAGTTTCATGTGAATCAATCATATAATTCTCACTAGACCTCTTTTTGCACATGAAGAAATAAGGTCAAGAGGTAGCAAAACCAGTGCTTAAATTGGTATGTTTTGATCACAGAGTCGGCACTTCACCAGTGTTTTTTGACTGGTTGATCACATACTCGTAGGTGTGTTATGGGTGTGGGGATGGGAACTGTGTGGTGCTGAGGCTGAATTAGGAGGAAGCATTACTAAGACTGCTTCTATTGTTCTGTTTCCTAAGTATTCCTTTTTTTTTAGTTTGGGTGATTACTTTTATCCTATACTGCCCTGAATCTACATTATAGTGATCCATACTGATGCTCTGGTGAGAGGTTATGCCAGTGTCTATGGCCTGAAAATAGACTGAACCTACTGTACAAACAATTCTGATCTTAATATGGAGTCTAAGTTCACCTACATTTTCCTGGGAGGCAGAGCCTAAGAGTCTATAGTTTCAGTATTCTAACCTCAGAAGTAACTCAGAATAAAGGCCTAACGATCTACTTTGGAAAAATGATAAACTTTGCAAACGCTGTGGAGGGCAGTTTGAAACTCATGGGTTGCCAAGACTCAGAATGGACTTAATGGTATTTGTGTGTGTGCGTGGGGGGGACTTATTCGAATTAATTTTTATTCATAGTACTTATTATCTGACATACATATTTTTTTATTATCTGTCTTGCTGTACTAGATGATAATTCCCAACAGTGGTTCTCAACCTTCCTAATGCCGTGACCCTTTAATACAGTTCCTCATGGTGTGGTGACCCCCAATCATAAAATTATTTTCATTGTTACTTCATAACTGTAGTTTTGCTCCTGTTATGAATTGGGCAACCCTTGTGAAAGAGTTGTTCGATCTCCAAAGGTGTTGTGACCCACAGGTTGAGAACCGCTGCCATAGCAGAATTTGTGCTTTATTTTTGTCACATATATTCATAGCTCAAACAACTGTGGTTAATAAATGTTTTTAACTAATGAAATACTGTTTTAACAAATAATTTTAAGAACTGATAACAGAAAATAATCAATTATTGATTCAATAACCTTTATTTTACTTTAATTCAACTTTCATAAGGATGACTTTTTTTTTTCTTTTACACCAATTCAATCATTTATTTTTTCCCCCTATCGTTTCTGCATGCACAATTTTATGACACTGATTACATTGGAGTTGCAAAACCATTTAAAACGCATGACTTTCAATGGATATTTGCAGTTTTTTTGTGATTTTGTTTTATGTAAAAATTGTTGATGTGATTATATGTAATTTGTAATTCTTGACTCCTTTAATTTTTCAGGATTAGGCATTAGAGAGCCCTCAGGGCATATTGATTTTTATCCTAATGGAGGAAAAAAACAACCTGGTTGTCCTACATCAATTTTTTCAGGTATATTGATAATATTTTGAATAAATTACCTACGATTAAATGATAAAAGAAAACTGAGATGTATCTTCCTCAATCTTTTGACAATACTTTGATCTAATCTTTATTGCTCATGATCCTGAAGTTATTGATAAACAATGGTGTAATTTACTAATTTATAAATGTTACCAGTAGATGTCCCATTGGTCATTGAAGAGATCAATGGCATTGTAATATAACAGTTTCAGATTCTTACTAAAAATACTAAGGAAGTTACAAGTAATTAAAGAAGCATGTGTAGCTAATGTTTGTTCAATCCAAGTTTAATCTTCAGCTTTAACCTCAAATTTGCCAGGAGTCAGAGATAATTTACAGGCAACTATCAACAATAGCAACGCATCATCGTAGTGCTTTATCAACACATACAGATTCACACACTGTGGACACTTCGTTGCTTTGTCCATATAGAGAATTGAGCAACCGTTCCAAGTGTGCAGTTTGGCTAATGTCACAACTGGAGCAAGAAATATTCTTGGGACCTTCCTGGTAACTGACCAAGGAACACCTGCCTACACTTCTCTGCAGTTACTCAAGTTTGGTCAAGGGCTTAAGGATGGGGGTATTGGAAAGAGCAAGGAACAGGACACAGTTTTAATTTCACCAGTTTTCATTTTCATCTCTGATATCAGATAAAATGCTAGGGGTGTGATATAAAAATGAAGAGATATGTGAATGAGTGAATGAATTGTTAAGAATAGTATTGTATTTGAAGAGTTTATTAAATTATTGAAACTAATTAGAAAAAAATAATTATAAATCTAACGTAGAGACATGCTAAATTCAAGTTTTCAATGATACCATTTGTTTAACTCCTTGATAAAACTGTGCATGGTAGTGAACACTTTAATATTCATAAGGTACATGAAATTAAATAAAGCCTAATCTTTCATTTTTTTGAATTTGGTCTACTCATCTACAGTTATTTTGCTTGATTTTAATACTTCAGGGATTGAATTTTTAAAATGCGACCACCAGAGGGCAGTTTACTTATTCATGGCATCTTTGGAAACACACTGCAATTTCATTTCATTCCCTTGTCCTTCATACAAAGATTACGAGGCTGGTTTATGTGTGAACTGTGATGACTTTAAGAAACTTTCATGTCCTTTACTAGGTAAGAGATTGTTATAATTACTGTAATTCTTTTTGGAAATGAATCATGTACGTGTGCTAGTATTTTCTGCTATATGTTAAACTATGTGTTCATTTTTCTTGTTAAAAATTTTAAGATTTTTCATAGTAAAATATTTGTAGACAAATGAAACAACCTATGTAAATAGTTCATTTCCTACTAAGTATTTTTATACACGTATTGAGAAGACTTTGGTCAATACCTTTGAGGTGAAATAGGAAATACTGTGAATTCATAGTAATTCCTGTTGATAAACAAACAAAAAAATCTTACAAATTATTATATAATTATTTTCACTAAAAAAGAAAGACTGCACTTTCTTATCAGAACTTTTAAAAATTTTAAATGGGAATTCTTAGGAACAAGTGAAAAGAAAATCCATAGCTATCTTTTTGATATCACAAATAGTTTCTAATCAGACAATGCCTACAGGTTCTAAATCAATAAAACTTGGTGAAAGTAATTAAGTGTTGCTGGCAGCCAGTAGGAAATTACACACACAAACACACCCCCACACACACACCCCACATAGAGATGGAATGTTAAATCTGGAAGGAATCTCAGAGGTTAGTTGTTAAGGATTCTCAGAAGAGAATACCGTCTCAGATTTAAGCATTTCATGAGCATGATCACATCTGCTTAGTAGCATAAAAGAATCTGCCAGAAGTGTTTCTAAAACTATAAGGGCTGGAGAAAGCGGGCAGCAATTCCAAAGGCTGAGTTAAACCATATGCTACCAGTTTCCTCATCAGGGAGTTTAAACTAACATATCTGGAGACTCTCCAGGAGAGACAGGCAGTTTGCAGGCTTGGCCCATTTATTTCTTTATAAAACTTTTGTGTTCACACAACATCTGGTGCGGTTAGATTTCTTTGGACTTCACGTTGAAGGTTTCTTTTCTGATCCCATCTCTTTTTGACTTATGGATGGGGAAAAACGGATATAGTCAACCAATAATATGAACTGTTTGAGGGCACAAATGAGAACTATTAAACCTGTGTTCCCAACTCGGCCTTCTTTTCATTACATTCGTTCTCAACATTTGAGGTAACATTAAAATGAGGACATTTGGGGTGAGAGGTTCCATTGCCTTTTATTTTATTTTTGAAGCCTCTCCTATTTAAACTGGGAGATATCTGAGAGACGTCGGTTCAAAGCATAGTGGCCCTATCTATGTACACCAGAAGGAAACCCTAACCACTCCTGTGTCATCGTCACAATTGTTATATTTATGTAACTCATGATGAGTACACAAGTCTTTATCATTTTAAAAAAACTTATTGAGATCAAGTCAATTCTAACTCATAATGACCATTTAATGAATGTATCTGAATATTCATATATTATATGTACAATTTATATATTATGTACCCGAGTTTTTCAGCACATTTTTAATGCAGTTTTTGTGGTAAAATTAGGTGCCTTGGCTGATGTTTGGGTCAGCTTATACTCAAGTATATACGGTATATGATATAGAGAAAATATACATGTGACCTAGACGATGTGTGAGGAAGCCCCCCAAAATTAGTGGGAAAATTTGATAATTCTGTTTTCTATAATATTTTTGCAGTCCCTGAGGGGCTGCTACCTGAAAGGTGGTAGGCTGGAACCCACCCAGTGGCTCTGAGGGAGAAAGACCTGGTGATCTGCTTTTGTCATGATTATAGCCCAGAAAAGCCCATTGGATAATTCTGGTCTGTCACATAGGGTGATGACAACCTGAAGGCACCTAACAGCAAAAGATGTTCTCTAGATCCTGTGTAACATGTATATAAGCACATATAAATAGGTCAATATGTATGAACTATGTAAATTTAGGTAGTGTACTCTTGGAGCTAAATGTTATTAAATTGTATATAATCCATTTCCTAGGCTCGATTTATTCTTTTAAGGTTACAATGTTGCATTTTTAGTACTATATGAAGAATTGCTATAAATGGACTGTGTTCTTATGGGATAGGATAAACTGCTCACATTTTCTGGGACTGGAATTTATTGGTGATTTCTGAATTTAAGAGTTGATTTTAGATTGCTGGCCACAAAGTCAATCATTCAAACCCACAGCCACTCTGAGGGAGAAAGATGAAGCTATATGCTTTTGTTTGTAAAGATTTAGAGCCTCAGAAATCCTGTGAATTCAAACGGACTCAAAAGTAGTGGGTTTGGGTTTAGTAAATAAAGAAGTAATACTACTCAGGTTCCAGCTTAAATATGCATACGTTTATGCCAAGTAAACTGTGTTTAAGTGTGTCTCTGTGGTCAGCGAGGGCTGCAGACAAGTTCTCTCAGAAACATCCAGCCTTGGTCTCACCAAGGTGCCATTGAGGGAAAAGGGGGCGTCCAAACAGAACAGTAACTTCTGAGGGGATCTGCCGTGCCGATTAAATTCAAGGTAGAAAAGCAAGGCAGCTTACGTTACGGTGGCCAGTTTTCTCATTTCCAATGGTGCAATCTTGACAGATTTCCTTCTCCCAGAGTCAAGGCATAGAGTACGTGGGGATCATTAAGGGAACAAATTACAAAAATTGAAAACTGCCTTGATGAAAAAGGCCAGGAACGTTGTGTCAGAGGTTTGTTTTGCCCATCACCACGCACCTGCTTGTTCTCCTCGAGGATTAGGCACTGAGCCTGCCAGCAGGAAAAACCTTACTGCACTTACTGGACAGCCCTGAATGTACTGCCTTGTTGTTTCTTTTTGCTCCCCAAACTCAAAGAACTTTTTAAAGAAACATGACTTGAGTCCCTCAAAGATTTGAAAATTGACATTTGGTGTGCTGGAAAACAGAGAGTGCAGAATTCCTGGCAAAGAGTTAGACAGATGAAAACACCATCTTTAAACGGGTATAGACCTAGATGGAGAAATATGTGGAGAAATAATGGTTTAATATTTTCATCGTTGCAATAATAGTTCCTATAAGTTTGTGGCACTATGATTCAATTTGCCCTTGTATTATTTAAAAATCCTTCTTAAGTTATAAAAAAGTCTATGAAGCCTAATGAGTACTCCTATGATACATTGACACTTTAGTTTCTTTTGGGATTTAAAATATTTATATGCTATTTGATAGAAGCCCATTTTCTTATATTCTTTTTCGCAAATCTCAGGTTATCATGCTGATCAGTGGAAAAGTATATTAAAAGAAAGAATAGAAAGAAAATCTATGAGGACCAATATGTATTTGGATACTTCTGGTGCAAATCCTTTCTGCAGTAAGTTGTAAACATTTTATTTGTAAAATTAATTAAATTTGTTTTTTAAACAGTTGTTAACATATTAAGCAAGTGACTCATATTATACACTCGCTCACATTTTATTCAATGTGTTCTTTCCACTCATGCAAATGTTTAATTTTCAAGAATGGTGAGATTTGTTAGGCTCAGTTGGACAAATTAATAAAAGTCTTTAGTATGATTTTCCCAAAGGCAAATCAAATCATTTCCCTCCTACCAGATGTCTACTGCTGTCACTGTAGCAGCTCTGGCTCAGAGGAGCCCTGAGCTCCATAGGGTTTCAAAGGATGGTTGTTCGGAAGCAGGTCACTAACCCTCATTTGTCTTATGTACACACTCTAAAGACCTAGCTCTTTTCGTCTACTTTTATCATTTGACATTATTATTTTACTATTGAGGTTTGAGAGTTATTCTAATACTCTAGATACAATCCTTATTGGAAATGTGATTTGTAACTTCTCAGTTTCCATCCTTCTAACACGGGATGAAACATTCCGGGCAAACATTTTCAAATTTTGGTGGTTTCTAATTTATTACCTTTTCCTTTTATTGATGGTTTTGATATTATATCTAAGAACTTAGTGTAAATTATTTGATATTGAAGGTTCTCTTATTTTATATGAAAATTTGTATAGTTTATCTGCTACACCACCTCTACGCCTGTTTTATTTAGTTTGATGGTGTAAGCTTTGGGTTGGTACTTTATTGTCTTTGTGTGTGTGTGTGTGTGTGTGTGTGTGTGTGTGCGTGTATTTTTATCCAATTACTCAATCGTTACTTCTTGTAAAGTGTTGTAACACCTTTGCCAAAAATCATTTCTACGTATTGTGTAAGTCTATTTCTGAGTCTCTATTCTGTTTCATTGACTTAGATATTTATACCACTTCAAATACCACAGTCTTGATAACTATTACTGGGACCCTACAGGACAGAGGAGAACTGCCCCTTTGGGTTTACAAGATTTTAAATCGTTAGGAGAGGAGATAGCAGTATTTCTTCCATCTGCGGGTTAGCAGTTCCCTGAGTAGCCCACTGCATCACCCAGGCTCCTTAGAAGGCTATTTAGCATCTCTGTATAGTAAGCCTTAATACTAGGTAGGGTGATTCTCTTTATTAATCTTTTTAAAGATTGTTTAGATACTCTGAGGCTTAAGAAATTACACTATTGAAAAATACTGATGAAAGAAATCAAAGACAACCTAAGTAAATGGAAAGACAAACTTCCAGTTCATTGACTGGAACTCAACATAATAAAGATGTCAAATTGATCTATGGATTTAATGTACTTCTTATCAAAGCTCCAGCAATATTTTCTATAGACATAAGCAGCATAAGTGGAAATTTATGTGTAATTTCTTAGTTTGTTGCTTACATGCTAATTATTAGCATATAGAAATGGAATTGATTCTTTATGCCAAATCTGTTTCCTATAGTCTTGATGAGCTCACTTATTATTTTAGGATTTGAAAAAGATGAATTCGTTGAGATTTTCTCTTTGAAGAATCATCCTAACTGAAAACAGAGACATTTTATTTCTTTGTCCTTTTTGTGATACAACCTATAATCCAGGCTAAAGTGTTGACATCTGCTTTGCAGACCCCTTAAATCATTCTAGCACCCCTAAAATGGTCGCATTTTCCACTTGGGTAAACACTGCCCTATTGGGTTTTAGAGGATTTTTTATTAATTGGAACATTTTTTCTCCCACAAGGTGGCTGGTAGCTTTGAACTGCTGACCTTGGAGATCTGATAGCCTTCCTTCCTTTCATGTTTTCTTTGTTCTCTTTCATCTATGCTGACAGTGTTAATGATTGTACAACATTTTCAAAATGTATGAATTTCTATATTTCCTGAGGATTTGCTCCATTAGAAAAGAGGCTCCTTCGATTTGTTATGTAAAGTTTTCATTGACAATCTATTTTAATTTCTGAAAAGTTTAGACGTCCATATTTTTATCTTTTTTATTTAATTAGCAAAGAAATTTAATAAGTGATTTTTCTGTAATTAGTGACTTGTTGAATTTCTTTATACATACTTTAATTATTAACTAATTCTAGTACCTTATGATTTTTTTATGTTTTTGTATCTTTTTGATGTATTTATATTACATCGTGATTGGAAAATGTAGTTCGAATTCTACAAATTTTTGGTAGTATAGAGATTTTTGACCTTAACATATGCCCAATTAAAAAACACAGACAACATATCTATACTTGAAAAATGAAAGGCATATTACCCAATTGTTAGATATTTCTAAGTTCATTGAATAATAGTTATTAATTTTATTCACTAACTTTACCAATTATTTACCTATTCGATCAATTTTCTGAGAGGATGAGTTAATTATTTGTAATAGAAGCCTTGCCATTTTTTTCTTGTAAGTTTATTAACTTTGACTACAAATATTTTCTGACTACTTGAGGCTGTTGATGCATAAAAGGTTCATTTTCCTAGTGAAATTTTTATATTATACATAATTATGTATTTATTGTCACAGACTATCAGAACTTACTTTAGAAACACGTTTCCTCATCTATTGTCTGAATCTTATGTTTTTTGTATCTTTAATATTACTCTATTGTAATATTTTAGATCCTCTTTATATTTGACACTCACTAATTATGAATGTACACACTCTGGAGTCTAATGCTTACTTACAATTATCAATTTAATTTTCCACATAGTATTTTGCAGTCCACACTCTCTTTCTCTGTTCACCTTCTTCCTGTGCTAACCTATATCCCTAAATCTATTTTCATCATATGCTCCTTCAGGTTTTTTTTTCGGAATATTTATTAATTTTTGCCTCTGTCTGTAAAAAATATTCATCTCAGTAGATAACTCTATTTTGAAATTACACTCAGCACTTTGAAGGTGTTCTGTTATTTGGCCTTTATGATTAATATTTTTAAATAAGTAATCTGTCCTTTCTTCCAGTTGAATTCAAACATTTTTCACATTACTATTTTGTTTCCAATCTCAAAGTTCTCTTTAAATCTGGATTAAACATTAAAGAAAATCATATTTATGCTATTCAAAATGAAGACATTTCCTTTAATTTAGATGAGTTTCAGTGTTTAACTCTGCAAAATTGTCCCCTAAAATAAATTCGATTTAGTTTGTTTCAGAGCCTTATGTACACTGATCCTGGCAGATTTTTTTTTTCTTGGCAGATTTTTAAAGTAAATTATTGTGGGTCATTCACCAAATGGCTAGAATAAATTTAGAATCCATGTTACTTGCAGTTTATTTAGTACCAGTACAGTTTCTGTTTAATCAAACCTACACAGAGAGCCAGTGTGATGAGTTTGCTAGTTCCTCTCTCTTTCAAAGCTGAGTTTCCCTTGCTCTTATACAGCTCAGCTCAGCCACTGCATCCTCCGTCCTGTGCTGATGGAAGAAGACAATTGGACCTCCAAATTTATGCCACATCCAATTCATAAGTCCTTGGGGGACCTAGGGTTTCAAGCATTCTTTATCTTCTTAACTTTAATTTCTCTCCTTCTCTGACCATGAATGTTACCTCTTTCTTTTACTGCATGTTCTTTTAAAAATTTAAATACTGTAATCTGCAACTCGATGTACTCAAGACTGGGTGGGGGTGGGGGTAGGCATTCTATTACATCTCAGGGTGTCCCTATTCCAGAAATCATCTGAACAAACTTGAATCTGGACTCTTTTAAATGTGATGTGGAACAAACTCTTTTGTCTGAACCTGGGCAGTAACTACTTCCCAGCAAGGGGTGTCCAATCATAGACCCAGCTACCACTCTGAATAAACTGCTGCTGACCTGCTTCTACCAAATCAGAGATTGAAAACCTATGGAGCGCACCTCTACCCTCACAGCTGTGGTGGCACCGTGAGTCAGAAGCTACTCAGAGGCAACTGCTTAATAAGCATCCTGGGTATCGAGGAGTTTCATTTAACACCAAGCCTACTCATTTTTCTAATTGAGATTTATCACCACAGTATTTAAAATATTACATTGTTTTTAGAAGGAGTGCCCAGGTAATGGGATAATTCACTTACATTCTGGCTTCCTGTATCATGCTGAAAAGATTGAGAATAGAAATAATTTCAGCATCCTTACCTAAGAAAAATACACTCTTTCATCTTTAGTAGGAACTTTTGTGAAAACGCTACTATTGGCTTACCTCATATAAACATTGGCTTATTTTATATAAACATACACACACACACACATACACACACACACACACACACACACACACGATTAAAGTGATTCTGACTCATGTGTCATCCTATATGAGTACAAGACTAGTTAGCTTCACAATAATTCCTGAACAGCCAGTGAAATTTAGAATTACATACAAGTATGTAACACCAATTTATCTCAATTAATCATATCATTAGGAACTATATCATATTCCCCTTAAGGGTGTTATTGAAAAAAATGTGTTCAATGAATGTGCATCTTTAAGATTTTGGTTTATTTATCAGTACTGACTAAGAACTCTTTGGTAGACTTCTTACTTATTTTTGATATTTTCCCCCCAAATTAGCAGAATGTTGTCATTTAAGAAGTAAAATGCATTACCCAGTTGCCAAATCAATGCTTCTGAATGTTTTCTGATATATGAAATATTATGTATGCATATGAGCTCTGGGACGATTGTCGGGTAAGCTTCGGATTGCCAATTCGACAGCTGCTTATGAGAAAGATGAGGCTATCTCTGCTCCGGTAAAAATGCCTCATCTTGAACATTCTCTATGGCGTCACTATGAGTCAGAATCAACGGAATGCGGTGGTTTGGCATTTTGTTTGTTATATGGGCACATTTATATAGATACCAAAGCAAAATTAAAAGTAAGTGAACCAATTCTATATTTTGTTTTATAGCCTACTATTTCATTCTTAATATACTTGTTCTGAATAAAACAATGCGGAATGGCTATTTTACATTTAAATTATTAAATGAGTTTGGGATTTTTGAAGAACCAAGGCTTTATGAGTAAGTACAATTTAGTTTTTTTTTCTTTCTGGTATATAAACTAAATGATTGATTTTTTTTGACTACCCACATTAACAGAATGTAAATACTATATCCAGATATTCTAAGATGATAAGATATTGAAAAAGTCTCAGGTCTTATATTTGCATGCTATCATTATATTGAGGAAAATAATGAATGTGAAAATAAAAACCACTTTGACTTTTTTATGACAACGAGTGAACAGGAGCATTAGAGAGATCCTGTTTGCTTCTGTTTCTACTGGCTGATTCCATTGTTCTTCTAATCAAAGCATGTGGCATTTGATCTTTGTCGCATGTTCAGTGATGTGAATAAATACCTTGTGACTTCTCCGATGTGTTCAGTCTCAACCATCATTCTCTACTTTATCTATAATTCACTACAATGCTCACACAGCACTTACAGACAATGCTCATGATTACAGAGTTTAAATAAGGAAGTAAATAAGTTACAATGTAGTTGAGAAAGAATATAGGTTTTCAGGCAACACATGTTACAAAGTTCTCTCAGGTCGACTAATCAATGCCCAAAGGGCATCCTGTTCTGCATGACGCCTCAACCAGAAGGCATTCAGCTCAAGCTCTGTGGGTCAGCAACCCTGCTCCCTGAATTAAGTATCCAGAAGCACCCCACTCCAGTGAGCCGCTGCCTAAAGGCACTCAGCTTTACTTTGGAGGGACAGCAAGCTCAGCCCTCCCAATTAAATTCCCAGAGGGACCTCACTCCACAAGCCACCCTCCTGCCTGAAAGCACCCAGCTTTATTTGCTCGGTGAGTTAAGAAACCCACCACTCTGCTTTTGCTGTTGCGACTCCCTCTCTGCTGCTCCTCAGATGTCAAAGCTGTCCTCTGGATTAAGAAGGTTCTCCTTGGAGGGATCTCGTGGCTCTTCCTAGTAGTTGAGTGTGTATAACATATATTACCTAAATTTTGGCTTCAAGGCATACTTAGAAATAGATCTCATTTGTAGCCTAGGTACTTCTTTTGTTTTAAGTGATCTAATCATATTAAAGGCGCCCTGGTGGCGCAGTGGATGAAGTGCCAGACTGCTAACAGTTAGGTACTTGACGTAAGCTCACCAGCTACTCTGCAGGAGAAATATTAGTCTCTCTTCTGTGGGAGACACATGAAATTGCCTGCTCCTACAAACGTTTAGTCTGGGAACCCTATTCTCCAGTTCTATGCTGTGCTATAGGTTTGCTATGAGTCAGAATCTACTGGATGACAGTGGGTTTGAGATTTCAAAATCATCACACAGAATGCTCTCAGTTTGAGCTAGTTGAATATATACACGTGGGATATTTAGTAAGTTCTCAAATTTAAATACAGTGAACCCTCGTTTCTCGCGTTTAATCGGTTCTAGACCCTACCGTGATAAATGAAATTCCGCGAAGTAGGATTCCTTATTTGTAAATCAAATATTTTCGTAGTTAGAGCATAGAGGACATGAAAAAACACCCTTTAGTCACCATTACACTCATATTACCCAATTTATTAAACGAAAAAGGGAAAATGCAGTAAAACATTTTGGACGTTACAATTATCATTTATTATTTATTATATTATGAAGTACAACGGATGGAGCGAACGGAAGACTCATTCAAGTCGAAATAGCGTGCAACCTCCACGATTTTCTTGCCATCTTTGATCATATCCAAAAGTTTTACCTTTTCCTGGATGGTGAGCATCTTCCTCTGGTGCTTATTTTTATTGTCAGAAGGCTTAGAAGAAGAAGCTCGTTTAGGAGTCATCATAGGGCTTAGATAAAATTTCTTAAAAATCGCAAGCAATTACAGTACACTGTACAAAAGCAAATGCATCTGATACGTAGCTCTGATACATAGCGATGCAGACAGAAGCGTGTGCAGTATGAGCCAATCAGTGGCAGTAATGACAGAGCATGAGCTGTTACGCAAAAACCGCGATAGAGTGAAGCCGTGGAAGTCGAAGCGCGAAGTGGCGAGGGTTCACTGTATATATATATAAATTATATAAAAATACCTGCTACTATGAAAACTGTAGTTTCCAAATTGTTGTGCTACATTAGAAATTCATTAAATTTTGCAAGTATTTCCAAATGTTTCAGTGGTATCACTTGTCTGATGATTAAATAAATATAAACTATTTTATTATAACAGGATTTACAGTTTGGTTTAAATTCTGACTGACTAATAGTGACATAGTTGGAAATTCAGGAGGCATGGTTGGTACAGTCAAACTTTACTCCTGTTATAATTTAGGTACTTACAATACCTGCATTGAGTAAATCTGTGAAATGGGCCTTGTACCTGAGTATATAAACCCTGGGTGTCATACAACTAAGTCCCAGTGGTTCTGAAAGACAAATACCCAGTTATTTGTTTCTCTACCAAGACAAAGATTTTCTTGTTAAAGGAAAGAGACTTTAGAGGCTATGAAGGTGGGTGGTGCAGGGGAGGTAAGAATGGGGTGGGGGAGTGGTGAGAGTAAGGGTGGGAAGCTGAAGCAATAGGTCAGAGGGTAGACAGGTTTTAGAAAAATCAAAAGTAAGAGTGTGGACTAATAGCTTAAATTGTAAAATATAAAACTGGTGATCTGAAATATAACCACCTATTTCTGATTACAATTTTCAAAAATAATAATTAAAGCCACAAAACCCCTCTAGGACAATGGTTCTCACCTTCCTAAAGCTGTGATCCTTTAATATAGTTCCTCATGTTGTTGTTACCCCCAACCATAAAATTATTTTCATTGCTACTTCATAACTCTAATTTTGCTACTGTTATGAATCCGGTCCCTGTGAAAGGGTCGTTTGGCCCCAAGGGGGTTGCGACCCACAGGTTGAGAACCGCTACTCTGGGACAATTTTACTTTGTCCTATGAGTTTCTATGAATAAAAAAATAGATGAAATTTTATTAAACAAAACCAAAATCATAAAAGTTAATTATTTAAAACTATGTAGACCTGCATAGAAGTTGTAAAAAGTTTGTGAAAAGTGGAATTAAATGATAATGTAATTTAAAAGTAACTTTTGATATCCTGTAAAAAGAATGCAGTGAGGTATGACAATTAACTTTATCCAGCTTCACAAAGGCGAAGGAAAGTCTTCAGCAGCTGCTGCCAAATGTTGATTACTATGAAGCTGAAGTCAGATATAGCCCAGCCTAAAAGTTTTTTTAAAAATACCTTTATTGGGGGCTCTTACATCTCTTATCACAATCCATACATTCCTCAACCCTACAAAATTTTATACCAGCTGGTCCTCCCACCACCCTCTCTACTTTTCAGCAGACCACAGTGAATACTCATGATGATAGGGTTTATTAAGCAAGTTAATAGTTTGAAAAAGCTTAGGATACAATTACTCAGGCAGGATACCCTTTTCTCATCCTTGCCTGCAGGCAGGCCTCTCTATCTGGCCTTTAGCTTCTGCCCTGCTTGTGCACTGTCACAAAGCTCTCTTAGGGCTCTCTTAGGCTGCCAATAAATGGCCAAAGTGCATGCTATTTCACTACACACTACACTACACACTTAACACAAAGGCACTCCGTTCCAGCTCTGTGAGTTAGCAAATTCAACTCCTCCGATTAAATGCACCTCTCACCATAAGCAGCCCCTCTCTCCAGAAGCTCCTCTCTCCAGAAGCGCCTCTCTCTGTAAGCAGCCCCCTGCCCAAAGACACACACTCAGCTTTACTTGCTTCACACGCTCACAAGTCCACTGCACTATCACATGTTCTGGCTCCTGGTTCGACTCTTGCCACTCTTTTGGCATTCCTTTATGACTCCGTTAGTGTCACCGCTATTTCCTGCATAAAAGGAGGTTCAGAGTACAAGGATACCAGGCTCCAAAGATGCGCCCCACTCCTGTCCTTTCTCCCTTATTGGTAGTGAGATCCACCTGCTTCCCTATTATGATTATGAGATGACTTATTTTATATTCAGCAGGATGGAAACCATAATTAATTCTGTTAACAATCGCTCCCAGCCTCAATCTTATATTCCAAATTGTCTCCTCCACCTTCTCTCACCGAGACTTACCAGGAAAAACACATTTGAGGGGAGTTACAATGACTATGACTGGGAGGGTCATATAAATAATTCACTGCACTGTAGGCCCCTTGTTTACAGATAAATGAAGACTCTTATGGCACAGTGGTTGCTAACCTAAATATTGGCAGATTGAACCCACAGTAGCGTGGTGGGAGGAAGAAGTGATAATCTAATTCCATCAAGGATACACATTCGTGGAAACCTTGCGTGATAACTCTATCCTGTGCTCCAGGGTCCCTATAGATCAGAATCCAAATCAATGTGATATAGCAATGGATATATAATTCTTGAATTAATTCAATATTCAACAAATATAATTCAGCAATAAACATGTTGGGCATTTTGCAAAATAATGAGGCCCCAAACTGAAACAGACAGTTGTGGTTTACAATGAGGTGACAGAATACTGGAAGGAACTCAGGCATAGTTATTACTCTGATTAATATATATATATTTAATTGTTTTATTAGGGGCTCA